GCGCATTCGGTTAAAAAGTCGCAACTCTCAAACCAGATCGGGTAAAAGGCTGAAAAAGCAGACAATGTTTTAGAGGCCCTTATTTCTGAAGCGTGGAGAATTTCAATGCATTCAGAGCTCTGGATCAGTTTCTACGATTTTTTGAAATTGCGCTCAAATCCATAAATCGTCGCAAAAGTGCGCGCTTTCGGTTAAAAATTTACTACTTCTTGAACTAACAGCGATCTAAGGCTGCAAATTTGAACGTTAACCAAGGAAGCCTTAACTCATAAGTGTGCAAAATTTCGTTAGATTTAAAGATCCTGTTCAGTTTCTAAGATTTTTCAAAATTGCGCTCAAGTTTCCAAATGGTCGCAAAAATACGCGCATTCGGTTAAAAAATCGCAACTCTCAAACTAGATCGGATAAAAGGCTGAAAATTCAGACAATGTTTTAGAAACCCTCATTTCTGAAGCGTGGAGAATTTAGATACATTGAGAGCTCTGGATCAGTTTCTACGATTTTTTGAAATTGCGCTCAAATCCATAAATCGTCGCAAAAGTGCGCGCTTTTGGTTAAAAATTTACTACTCGTGAACTAACGGCGAAGTAAGGCTGCAAGGTTGAACATTAACCAAGGAAGCCTTAGCTGAAAACTGTGCAAAATTTCGTTAGCTTTAAAGATCTTGTTCAATTTCTAAGATTTTTCAAAATTGCGCTCAAGTTTCCAAATGGTCGCAAAAATATGCCGATTCGGTTAAAAAATCGCAACTCTCAAACCAGATCGGGTAAAAGGCTGAAAATACAGACAGTTTTTTAAAAACGCTTATTTCTGAACCGTACAGAATTTGGATACAATCAGAGCTCTGGATCAGTTTCTACGATTTTTTGAAGTTGCGCTCAAATTCAGCAATAATAGCAAAATGGCGCGCATTCGGTTAAAAAATCAGAACTCAGTAACGAGAGCAGGTGGAAAGCTGCGTTTTTGCACACTTATCGAAGAAGCCTGTCTAATTCCACATGCAAATTTCCAATCGATTTGGAGCAGTGGTTTATTTGTGGAAAATTTTCGGATATTCAGAAAAATGAACAACTGACTATGTAATTTATTCAACCACTCATAACTTCTGCTGTTAGAAAGATATCAGATTACCACGCAGATAAGACGCAATGTCTTTTAATGGCCTAGTTTCAAGATTCCGGATGCTTAACATCTTTTCCTTGACAACTTGTTTAAAACGAAACCATCCACCCGTCCAGCTTGCGGATTTCAATGTTTATTGCCTTTATTTTCATACGAATTAGTCACAACGTTCTGAAGCTTTCTCGAGAGAAAACTATCAATTAATTTTGCCTTCAGTCAATAGCCCGTATTTATTCAAATCCAAACATTCGCCAGATCTACGTGTTGCCTGGTGCTCACACGTTTCACTTAACTCTTCCCCAAACATTCTCAGAGCCGGAATGGAAGATTCAATTTACTTCCCTGGTAAAACAGTGGCATTAATCATGTTGCAGCTTAAACGGCGCTTTACGAAATGAACTGCAGGTGCTTTCTGCTGATTGTATCATCCAGCAATAATGTAACCCCATAATCAGACAGGAGATCTTTTGAATTTTGCTAAGATAGCGGGTTTTCTCACATAATTCAACACTTCTTTGTTCAATGAATTGGGGACGCACGATTTTCTGCGCCTGCAGGATGACACAGTTTTTTTCTTCAGCCAGTAAATCGATTTTTGTGCAGGTTCGTCCATGTGCTTTCCCACAGAAGCGCGTATACTGTTAAGCAACCATATCAGAGAAGTTCTTGGGCATCGATGACAAAAGTGGCCGATCTGTCGGTTGCCATATGTTATCATTTCACGTCGCAATGTTAACCGCTGTTATGTTACGAAATATCTGCGGGAATTAAACTATCTGGGGTCACTAGCTTTTTCTTTTCTGAAGATTCCTCTGCATTCAGCCAATGGAGTAGCTACGTTAATTAGCAGCAAGGTTCGATTTTTTCTCTAAAATGTTGAGTTGCATTGGTTGAAAGTACGGCAATAACTGTGCTCAATATGAAGAAAAACGACAACCGTAAAAAGCCACTGGGACATAAAATAGCAACAACTTAATATTAAAGGCAAATAACAGGCCTGGCTTTATTATGATCATTATATATCGCTCTTGTTTACACGATGGCAAAAATCGTTTGCTTTCAGATTCCGCTACCATTATCATTTTTCGTCGGCTTCATGGCGCATTTCCTGCAACTGCCCCATCCATAAAAATGCTAAACACATATAATCAGGCCCACAAACAGAGAGTTTCTGTTCATTTTGCAGATAATGTGATTTTTTTAATTGGCCAAATGTACGGTTGCGGTAACAGTCGGTTTGTGAGTTTCCCGCATCGAATTTGGCAAGTTTCTTCGCATGGTAATAAGTGGTTAAATGCGCTGATAAATAAAATGCCAATTCATTTCCTGAGCTAAAAGAGTTTGTATTAAAAGCGCCTGTAAGGAGCAATTAAAAACCGTTAAAGTAACAGATGCACAAATAAGTTCACGTTGTCACGTAAGACGCCTATAAATCACCTGTCGATTTCAGGTGGAATGGCTCAAACCACTGGACTCAGTGGTGGCGATGGCGGCTTCTTTGTTAACATCATTTTTTTCCTTCACTACTGCCATCG